TGAGAGTGACGAATATAAGCCCCCCTCCTCCTCTCCCTGTGTCTTACTTATAACCCCCCTCCTCCTGCTCTGAACCCCCCTGGGCTCTATGAGCCTGAAATCACCTGGTGTAAGCCCCAACCCCGGGAGGGTGTGTGTGTCAGCATTCTCACCTGGTGAATGATTTCAGGGCTAGGTCTTCCCCACCGAGCTCTTGAATTCCTTCATGGAAATTGTCCCTTCATTGCACAGCCTGAGAAAATCCTCTTTGCGTCTCACTATTTTGGAAAGGCTTTCGGGTTAGGGATAGAACCAGGTGGCGGGGGGGGGGGGGATCCTGTCTCTGTCATAGAGGCTTAGTGTATAGAAATGGGGAGGGGAAACTTTTCCTGACGTGGAAGGAAATAATATCTGTAATGTGTTGGGACTGGAACATCCCAGGACTGTTTTTACCAGAGACTGGCTGAGCTTGGAGCTCTAGAACAATAGCCCACCAGGACTCTGGAGGTGACCAATGAGGAAGTTATGGGTCTGACAATAGCCTATCTTCAGTTGTTGTTTGGGGAGTGGGTGGTGTTTGCATACTATTTAAACAGGGCCATTGCCCTGGGTCTTTGCATCGTTCTGGCTGAATCACTAATAAAGCAGAGGTGATCACTAAGCTTGGGGTAGGACCATCCATGGAACCCAGTATTTAACAATATCCCATAAATCCTGTGTTAATAGGACAGCACACTTCTTTCCTCCAGGAGAATACTTCTTTGAGTGTTTCTTTTTTATCCAGTTGAGAAAACAAAACAATGGAAGGGTTATAAGTTCTTAAAGAGAATATTATTTTATCAGGCAATTTGGATTGTGTGTTTTCTATGCTTTATGGGTTTTTTAAATGAATTTGATTTAATTAAACATTTCAAAGGTTAGTCCAGTGTGTGGTGCGTCTTTTTAAAATTGTGTATAAAGCTGTAGAAAGAAAGTGACTGGCAGACTGTTGGGACTGGCACCTTGTGTCATGACTGATCCCTGTGAGTGAACCCGACCAACTTTGCCTGCCCAGCTCCAGGATGTGGTTCGCTTAAGTTCAAGAACGGTCGGGTTAGAACGGATAAAAGAAAGTACTTCTTCACCCAAAGAGTGATTAACACTTGGAATTCACTGCCACAGGAAGTGGTGGCGGCTACAAGCATGGACGGCTTCAAAAGGGAATTAGATAGGCATATGGAGCAGAGGTCTATCAGTGGCTATTAGCCACAAGGTATAGATAGGGACTCTGGGGCAAGTGATGCTCTGTCATCTTGGTGCTTTGGGGGGTCAACAGTGGGATGGCTTCTAATGTCCTGGCCCCACTGGTGGACCTCCTGATGGCACTGGTATTTCTGGCCACTGTGTGATACAGAGTGTTGGACTGGATGGGCCTTTGGCCTGATCCAACATTGGCATCTCTTATGTTCTTATGTTCTTAAGAACCATAGGGCTCTCCCAAACTCTCGACTTGCTCCCGATTTTCTTGACAGCCGATTCACAACCATTGGAACCCATTTGTGCACGGTTCTTCTGCACACCTGCCCTCCCTCTGTGTAATGTATTCATAAGCTGCCGTTGAATGCATTATGTGTTGTGAAACATCTGATTGAAAAGCTATTTTGGACTTCCGGTTTGGCTCCCGTGAATGGCGGACGCATCCTCGGGTCGCTCCCGAGGGCGTCTCGCCCGCCCGCGGTGGAGGAGGGAATCTGCGCGAGCGGA